TATCAGTTTTCCATAGTCAACTAACTGCTGCTGCATTGTCTTCAAGTGTCAAATGAGTTTTATGGCTCTTCCAAAATATTTTTAAAGGTTTTTTGTTTGTTTGTTTGTTTGTTTACATCAAACTCTTACTTCTATCTTAAAGACAGTTTTAAAGTTTCTCAATGCTGATCTATCCCATTACCACAATTACCACCATCTCCACCACCACAATACCACAGGCAACTATAATTGACTTGCTGGAAGAATGGTAATTAAATGCTGAAATGGATCAAAGGAATAGAAATTATATATGCAACAAAATCTATAGCAAGTGTTCATCAAATTGGCTGTAGACTCCCTTCCCTTAATATTATAGTCTGCCTGCCCTCCCTCCCTTACTTCAATCCTTCTTTCCTTCCTTCCTTCCTTCCGTTTTCCTTCCCTTCCTTTCTTTCTTCCTTATCTTCCCCTCTTCCTTTCTGCCTTTCTCCTTTCCTGCATTCTTTTCATTTATTGGAGTTCGTTTCTTTTCTTCTTTCATTTCCTCATTTTCTTTCTTTCTTTTTTATTTATATTTTGCATTATGAGCCCTTAACTTCCTAGTCTTCGCTCCTTCTGGTTCTTCAAATGCAGGCTCTGCAATACATAGCACAGAACCTGTCTTCTTCGAGTCATGATTTGAGGGAACAAATAGCAAACATAGGAAAGGTCAGTGAAAAAATTATGGTTGAGATAGTTCATTTCACCCTTATATTCTGGTCTGCTATTTTGGTGTTGTTTAGTGTGATCAGAGTTCTGTGCTGCTGGTGAAACCAACAGGGAGAAGTAGCTGCTATGTCTGTTCTTGGAAGTTGCTGAAAATCAAAAGGAAAACATTAACAATTCTTTTGGGATCCATATCTTCTGTTTTGCTGAGGTGTACTAAGGAGTCATCTCTCCGCATATTTTTACAGGAAGCTCTCCAGTGGTGCCTTCTGTCTGTCTCGTGTCTGTCTGGTGGAAACTGGTGCCTAAGGGCATGGCACAAGTACTGACTTTTCCTTCCTCCACGTCCTCTGAGTCTCCCTGTCTTTGCAAGGGCCTGACCTGCTGAACAGCCATTAAGCACCCTTGCCATGGGTACAACTGTGTGTCACTCCCTGGCCAAACTATCCTGGCTCTTGAATTTATGTAGACAAATTCACAGTGTTGTTAGGTTATGATTTATGATTTGTTTTTGAAATTGCAAAATCACTTTGATGTGAACTGCTGTTCTCCGAAACCATTCCAGATGTTTTTAAAACTCCAGAATTATCAAACAAAAATAAAACGTCATAATAATAATAGCTAATATTACGGAAAGAGAGCTCATCAGTAATTTAGGTTTGGCAAAGTATCTTGGCCTGGTTTGTGAATTTTTTTGGTTGGGCGAAATTTGTTTGGCCAAGTGTCTCCCCCTTAATTTTTAAGCCCCTGGGTATTACAGAGGAAATTTAATCCATATGTTTCTGGTTCACTACCTCTTAAATCGTCAAAATGTTGTTTTCCAAAAGCTTTTTAGTGTTAAAAGAGGTTTATCGGACACTATACAAGTTCTCGAAAGTGTTTTTTACCTCAACTTGTAGATCCCAGTGGACAGAAACTCAAACTCCTAGAGTTTGGTTCTAAATTTAACATCAACAAAGCTTGACTGGGGACCAAAGCAACCTGACTGCAGTTAGTGCTTTGAAAAGTACTACATTATTGGAAGAACACATGTGTTGAATGGAATGTACAAGTAAAAGCACACCAAAAAGCAAAGTTTGAGGGATGGATGGCAAGCCTTCCAAGGAATGACTGTTGTGTAAATTTCTATTTGATGAGCTTTCTTTTACATTCTAATTTTCCAGCCACTTCTCCCCAGGACCTTCAGGTACATTGTATCCTGGGTAATTCCATTTTCTACACAAAAAAGGGAAATTTTTTTTTAAAGTAAGTATTCTGATAATCTTGTCAGAGTGAAAAAGATAAGGAAAAAGACATAAGAACTTATTGTCTAGAATGCATCTTGTAATTTCCATAATTCACTAAAAAAAATTCATTCCCTGCCAGTTTATTTGATTTAACATCATCCAAAGTGTAAGGTTATGCAGAATAAATAGCTAATTGGGTTAATTTAATAGCAGGTTAAATCTTTCTTTTATTTTGTCTAAAAGGCACATTAAAATAGTGCAATTTTCAAGTGGTCTTGGAAATCTAAAGTAGAGTTTCTTGATAAAAAAAAATATATATAGCTTTCCCACTGCTGAGTTTATAGTGGGAGTTGCTGGCAAGCTTCCAGTTCACCGCATGAAAATCTAAGCTGCCTGTATAAGTGTAGAATTTAGTGTTGGGTCTTAAGGTTTTGTTTGGCATCTTGCCAAAGATGTTATGCATTTAGCTGGGAAAATTGCCTAGAAGTTAATTGAGAGGAAAACACTAATATACAACCTCCCCCCCCCAGAAAAAAAAAAGCCACAGATATGCATATGGTGCTGTTCATTGATAAGATTTGTATGTATACAATAAAGACTCATAGTAAAGTTGCTTAGGATGGATTTTCACTGATTATCCACCCACCATGTATCTGCTTCTTTGAGAATGCTTGTAGTTTCTCCAAAATCAAGATTTCTCCATCACAGTGCCTGCTCAGTAGCGGCATGTGGTCACTAAAGTTCCTTTGAAAACGTTACTGACTGAATGCTAGGTGATGATTCAGGAATTTGGAAGAGGAAATATGTTAATTTAATTTCATAATCAAAGATCTTAAAAGGGACTCTTTGGTGCAGGATCTCAGTGTCTTCTCTCCAGAGACGATAGGTGGAATTTGCTCTGTACTGTCCCATAAAAGGATGCTGAAGCCTCAACTGAACTCTTCCTGTCCAATCTCCCCCCTCCGCCCGCCCTCCAGGAGAACCACCAGTGCCTGAGTAAGTTCTCAGGTTTGGTCTCCTCAGGGCTAAAGACGCAATTCTTATTCAGTACTTCATGGATTTTTCCTTTTATTAATAATCCTTTTTACCTGAATTTTGCATTTCTTAACCCTGGCAACTAACTTGTATTTTCTTCTCTCCTGAATTTTCTCTCTAGTACGTTTGTTTAATATACCTCTCCTCTTTAGTCTATGACCTTCTCCCTTCTGTGGCATGACCTCCCCCACTTTGTTTTTTTTAATTTTTCTTTTCTGATCAATAATCATGAAAGAGATCCACCAGAATCACCAAAGAATTAACTGCGTGTATATCCGTCTTCAAAATGAAAGTAAAGAAAGCTGGTTGTATATTTTTGTCATTGTATTTAGATTAGAATTTGTCTGGGAGAACCTACTCACACAATCATGCTCAGTAGTAATTAAATCACAGTTCCCTATACCTTCCATTCCTCCAAAACCCCCTCCTTTCTTAGAGATCCTTAAGCCTTGTATTGAAAAATAACACTTCCCCAAAATCCAGTCCAGCCTGAAGCTGGAAAGCCTTGCTCTTAAATGACAAAGCTCGCAGTAAGTGGACTTCTTGGTCACTTTCAGAGCCTTTCTTTATGGTTCTCACTGTGGTCTTGAAGAAAGGGCTTGGAGGGGGAGGGCAGTGAAGACAGAAGAACAAAGCTGGGGGGTACGCTTTGGGCTCGAAAGGAAGCGAAAAGTGATCCTTTCATTAAGACGAGTGATCTTTTGTACCTGCACTGTATCCTTTTGATGTGTTGAGGTAGAAAGAACATGAGGAAAGAAGAAACAATGAGAGTTGCTACTGTATGAATTCCTTCTCCTTACACTTAATCCTGTCCTTATTGGGGCCTTGGGTGGAAAGCTGATAATTTTGGTGAGCCCTAAAAGGAAGGCAGTGGCTTGAATCCCTGCCACCATCCCCTTGATAATGAACAAGACTAATGAATGCGGGTAAGTGGTAAGAATCTGTGACCAGCTGCATCGGGGCAGGTAATACAGCTCAGATTTAATTGGGAGCAGGTATTGGAAGGCTGTATTACTTTAATTGGTGAGGGGTTTTCTAAATGGAAAGGACAAAGTATAATGGACAAATTGTGTAGTACAATAACACTTAAGCTGGGATTGTATGCATTCGTTAATCTGCTGAGGAATGAGGCAATTCTAAACAATTTTCTCAGTGAAACCAACTCCAGAAAGCCTGTCCCTTTTGTTCTCCCTTGGGAAAATGCAAGATTGAAACAGAAAATACCTTTACCGAGGCAATCATTTGCCACGTGTGGAAAGCGGATACAGCTGTAAACTATGAAAAAGGGATCTTTGTAGTACAATAAAGGATGGAAAAAGAGATAAAGCTTGGAATTAGAGTGGGCCTGTCAGTGCATCTAAAGAAGGAATAAAGTGATGGCATTTACAGTGACAGATGAGACTCTAAAAAGAAGGCAGGACAGTTTAGAGAGGGAAATTTGATATTTAAAAGAAAGGGCTGTGATAATTAAAAGTAGCATTACATTAAGCTGTTACGCATATCATTAATGACAGAAGGAAACTGGTGCCTTTTAAAAAGTTAATGATTCCTATAAAACCATTCTGGATAACTTACATTTTTTAAAAGTCTGTATGAACATAAACCTGGCCTCATAGGTTGTATTTCTTATTCCCAAATTTCCTTAAAAATATAAAAGGTAATGAAGTTAGAATTAAACTCCAATAATTGTGTGTCATTGTCCATGGAAGAGCACTCAAGTGCTGCTCAGCTAAGAAAAGGATGGACTGAGACCAGCCGTGTACACATTGCTGCAAAGGGCTCTCTTATTAATATGTGAGTATGAAATGAGCCCAAGGGACATTCATTGTCAAATATGCATTAGTGCCTTGTTTCTTTTGATAATTTATATTTGACAAAATCCAACAGCATATCTATGGAATGGCATTAAAACTGATTTCAGATTTGTGATTCAATGATGAGTGAGCTCTAACAAGGTTGCTTAACAGGATTCTCAACAGGTTGAAATGTAAGAGTAGAAGGGCAATTGTATTGAAATTCGTAATGGGGCTCTTACACTTGTATATTTCCTTACAGGTGGGAAAACTGGAAAGATTGAATGTCCTTTGGAGTTCACAAAGGTTTGGCAGTGGGATGAGAAAAACAAAACGAAGCATAGTGGGAGTGTTGAACAGACTTTCCCAAGATCCCCAGGTGGGTTTCATGTATTGCCTAATGGGAAGAGTGGGACCGATTCAGCTTTTCACACTGGCTGAATTATCTTACCTTGGCTATTGTTCACAGCTAGAACCAAATCTACAAAGCTACAGTTTATCTAAAGAGTTCTTTGGAAAGAAAACGATTTCGCTATCCACACATCTAGATCCCACATATTAGACAGCACAGGCTGTAGCCTCAGTCTCTAAAGTCCAGACTATAAATTTTTTTTAAAAAGTTCCCTGTGTGAAATCATAGAAAACCTTTTCTGGCCATTGGTGCATAAAAGAAAAATTCTAATTGAATCTCAGCAAAAGATCCATAAACTATAAATAAAATCAAAGATCAGTCATGTTCATCAAAGCATATTCACAAAGAATAGTCAGGAGACTCAGTACCTTATCATATTTAAAGAGATGTTTCCAATAATGGCCATTGAAATTCATTACTGGGCTTCCACATTAAAAAACTAAAGCCTGTCAAATTTCTTAGGCCAGAGTAGAAGTAAAATAGGAAATAAATACCTAGAGTTCCAAATTATTATCTGTTTTAAAGATTGTGATGTGGAGCATTGAAGTGTTAATCTATATTGTAATACCATCCAATCTTTTAAATTGAGTGTGTGTGTTTGTGTTTGTGTGTAGTTTGAATATGATAAAATTTGTTGATATGTTACTATGCTATGTGCAGCTGTAACAAAAACTCAAAATCAGAAAAAAAAAATTGATTAGAACAGATCAAGTTTGTACAAAACTGCCATCTTCCTGGTCCCTAGAGTTAAACTGAAACATTTTCCTGTACTTGCCTTATCTCCACATTCATTTCTCCTTACCAAAGGAAGTAGAGAATGTCTTTCCCAGTAAAAGTCTTATATAAATCAGCTGACAACCATTCAGCATGGACAATATCAATTATAAAAGAATCCATTATCCCAAGAGCCATTTATACTGGGAACATGAATAAGAAAAAAGGATCTTCACACACACACACACACACACACACACACACACACACACACACATTTATTGATTACCTACTATGGGTCATTTCATCCAGTTAGTTGCTGTTATGTTCTTAGCAACCACAAACTCAGCAACTGTAGTTTTTTTCTACAGCATTTAATTAGGGATTTAGTAATCATAAATATCAACAAAATAGAGACTTTAATTAAATTTAGTAAGGCAGAAATTATACAGATATAATTATATTCTTTGCTACCACTGAGCTATGCAGAGGTATAATCATCAAGAGGAGAATTAAAGTAGCATTCTAATAGTACTTGTAAGTTCTGTGCGATGAATTTCTATGTATTTAGATACTATCCCCTGGAACTTCAGCTTCTGTACCTCTCCATCATCCTTTAAGCTTATAACAATGATATTGGCTAAAAAGAACATCCAACTTTCCTCATGTAAGGAGAAATCTTTAATGTAGGGCATGTAGGTTTCAATTTGATGTTCAATATATTCATTTATGCTCTACATCTATACGGTGAGAGAGACAAATACAGAGAGACCTGCATACACACACACACACACACACGCACACACACACATATGTACACACCCACATGTGTTTAAAATAAATACTAAATGTTATCACAAGAAAATAAGTAGAAAAACATTATAATGAAATTCACAAATAGTGTTATACATGGAAAAGAGGTTCAAATTTTAGGAGACCTATCATTACCTCTTTCAGTGACAATGATGGGTAAATAGTTTAGGATTCTCATTGAAGAAGTATTCTCCTCTTAACCTTTATTAAACATTCCCATGTATAGATGTATATGGCCAGTAAAGTAAATTAGAATGGCAATATTAAATATAATAATTCTTTGTATATTTAGCTAAAATATATCTATATAGAGGGGAATATATTACTTTAAATAATAAATTAATCTGATGCATCTTTAAAATAAATTATATTTATGGACTGACACTGAATAAAGTCTCTGAAATCTCACAAAGTGAGTATCGATGGTACTGTTTTGAGATTATTCAACTATGTCTGGAGCACATACACATTTTGTGCTTTTGTAAAATATAATTAAATTTGTCAATAAAATAAAAAGAACTACTCAAGAGAAATCTCTTTCCACTGTTCAAAGTAGAAATTGAAACACAAGAAATGAAAAAACAAATAAAATGAAAAAATGAAAGCTTCTCATTGTTAAAAAAAATAGTATAGAGTTACAAGTGAGATTACCTGCATAAAAGCAGGTTTCTAAAAGTTATGCCCAGTTTATAAAAAGGGCAAATAAAATATCCACTCCACCAAACCATAGTAGAAGAAAATAAGCTTTCATGTTTTCATGGCTCTGGTGTGGAAAAGTTTTCTATGAGAAATAGAAACATTAAATGTGTGCCATACTCAGGTTTTGAAGCTAGAATTTATTTAGTTTATTTTTTTCTTACTGTAGACAACATAAATTTTTTATCTTACAGTCCTTATTTGGGATTTTTTAAAATGTGGAAATCTCAAGATACATATCCCAAAAGCTGTAGCAGAAGAAAAGACAAAACCGTCTATATAATCGGGCATCTCACAAAGCTACAGAAAAAATAATGCTGCTAAAAATGAGCTCAATGATATCAAGGAATCACCACATAAGGAAATGTGCCAGCATGGAGAGAACCAGCAGATACAACAAATAGGAGAACTGTTATTCTCACATACCAAAATGGATATAATAACCTAAAAACGAATGCAAAAAATTGTGTTTAAAGTAATCTGTGAAATAAAATTTGGAATGAAAATCACATTGATGGAATAGCAAGTTATGGGGAACAAAGGAGAATTTTGAAAGAGCCATCTCTTAGTCAATTTTCTGCTGTTATACTAGAATTCCAGAGACTGGGTAATTTGTGAAGAAAGCAAAGATTTATTTCTTACAGTTCTGGAGGTGAAGTCCAAGGTCAAGGGGATTGCATTAGGTGAGGGACTTCTTGCTGCATGATCTCACGGCAGAAGGTGGAGGGGCAAGAGAGCACATGTGAGAGAGAGGTGAAGGGAGCTGAATTCAGGAAGCCATTCCTGCAATAAATAATCCAACCTGTGAAAATAGCATTAATCCATTCATGAGGCCAGAGCCTTCATGACCTAATCACCTCTCAAATGCCCTACCTCTCAACACCATTGCATTGCAAATTAAGTTTCCAACATATGAACTATTATGACACATTCAAACCATAGCAAAACCACAAATAATTCCAATTTTATAATACCTGAACTCAAATCATAAACAAAAATAATACATCTTTGTTTTTATGAAATGCCCATTATATTTGTGTTTATAGAAAGACTAATTAATTCATTATTTTTATATAATTGAAGTTTAGTAAATGGCAATGTATAAATAACATTAAGTAATAACTGAGAACAACCAGTAATGACAAAATGAAAAACAAAGTGATCATGAAGTGCTAAACTTGACTATGGAGGCACTGACACTTTCCTAGAGGTCTTTGAAAATAAAAAGGGAATAAGTAAAGTGTTTCTAGACTTGTCAGAAATAGGAACCCTTGGGATGTGGTGTCAGCAAAATGGCAGACTAAGAAGTTCCAAGCTCTTATTCCCCAATCGTGAACATAAAAATAAAGTAAAATAAAACATAAACTGTGTAAACCAACTTTGTAGAAGCTCTGGAAAATAATCAAAGTTTTACAGCAATCAAGCACATGTTTAATCAAGAAAAAGCCATCTTCAAAATGGTAAAAATGATTAGTGGTGGTTTTATTCTCCATCCCCCATACCCTTCATAATATAGGATGGTGTGCTTTTCAGCAGTGACAGATTAGTTACCAATTCCCCACTTCAGAGTGGAGGAAGCAGAGCAGACTTTACATGAAAATTATTGTGTCTGTTCATGCTAACTTGACTAGAGAAGCACTTGAAGAAGTGACTTGCTCATCTCTGTCTCTTATAGTTCAGAATACAGGCAGGAAAAGCAACAGAAACTTCTCATCAAAACCACAAGGGGACAAAAATCCCACACATCTGGGGCTAGAGAGATTCTAGGTGGAGACATACAATACACCAGCTAAGGCCCAGAGGAGAAACACATTGAGACTCTTTGGGAAATTAGGGCATTCACAAAGAACTGTATATACAAGGAGATTTAGAAAGTTATGAGCATGCCCCAGAAAGACACATGCTCAAAATTCTTTAGAATCCCTTAATCTTTCACCCTGGCTGAACCCTAGACTCATTGAAGGCCTAGAAAATTCATGAAGAAGTACAGTAGTACAGAAGCAATCTATAAAGTCTGAGAGAGGTCGACTGTCCCTTTATTTGTTTGTTTGGGGTTTTTTGTTTGTTTTTATCTGTTTCTGATCCTGAAATTCAATAGAATCTTTGTCAAAGCATTAGCTGAGTACAAGCTACAGGTATCAAAATAGTGAGTACATACACAAAAGAATAGTCTTTGCAAAAATAGTTTTTCTCAAGACAAGTAGATTACAATAGTCTTTAATAATCAAAACAGAAACACCCACATAGAGAACCCAGGGAATGAAGAGAATCTGATTTCCAAAGTCACCACATTAGAAAAATTAAATGCCAATCTTCAACAACAACAACAAAATTCACAAGGCACACAATGAAACAGGAAAAGTGGCTTATTTAAAGGAATAAAATAATTAATTGGCATAAACTGCTCCTGAGAAAGTTCAGATACTAAACTGACTAGACATTTGCTCAACTAGATAAGGGCAAATTTGGACAAAGAAGTTAAAGGAAATTTAGAACATGATATTTTATCAAAAGGAGAATATCATCAGAAAAATTATTTAAAAAAAAAAGCACAGAAATTCTGGGACTGAGAAAGACAACTGAAATTTTAAAAATTACTTGCAGAGATCAACCACAGATTTGTAGATCAGTGAACTTGAAGATAGAAAAATTGAAATTATTGAGTTTGAGGAGCAGAAGAAATAAAGGAATGAACAAAAGTGAAGAGAACCTAAGGAAACTGAGGGACACCATCAAGCAAACTA